TAACTATACACACTCAGCAATGCACACTCAACTATACACACTCAACAATGCACACTTAACTATACACACTCAACAATGCACACTTAACTATACACACTCAACAATGCACACTCAACTATACACACTCAACAATGCACACTCAACTATACACACTCAACAATGCACACTTAACTATACACACTCAACAATGCACACTCAACTATACACCCTCAACAATGCACACTTAACTATACACACTCAACAATGCACACTCAACTATACACACTCAACAATGCACACTCAGCTATACACACTCAACAATGCACACTTAACTATACACACTCAACAATACACACTCAACTATACACACTCAACAATGCACACTTAACTATACACACTCAACAATATACACTCAATTATACACACTTAACTAGGTAATTACACTGAGCCAGAGGTAGCTGGAGGTGGTGGAGGTGTCTTGAGGTGTGTGTGTATAGCCTGACGCGGATGGCTGTGAGGATCCCATCCGCGCCTTCTGCAGTGTTTGTCTGGCACTCCTGCACCACCCCCTGCTGCACCACCCTCTCTTGCACCTTCCCCTCCTGCACCACCCCTCCTGCACCACCCCCTCCTGCACCACCCCCTCCTACATCTCCCCCTCCTGCACCACTCCCTCCTGCACCTCCCCCCCCTGCATCTCCCCGTCATGCACCTACCTCACCCTCCAGGGAGTGCATCGTTCCCCTCCATTTACCTGTGTCCACCTAGCCTCGAGAGGGAGGGGAATATCCAGGATACAATTGAAGGATATAGATGGGAAGAGGATTACTAGAATGCATGAGCGAGAGAGAGAGAGAGAGGAGAGAGAGAGAGAGAGAGAGAGAGAGAGAGAGAGAGAGAGAGAGAGAGAGAGAGAGAGAGAGAGAGAGAGAGAGAGAGAGAGAGAGAGAAAGAGAGAGAGAAAGGAATGGATGATGTTGGGGTGCTGCTGAGAGAGAGAGAGAGCAGAGAGAAAGAGAGAGAAAAAAAGGAATGGATGATGTTGGGGTGCAGCAGCAGCAGCAGCAGCAGCAGCAGCTGCTGCTGCTGCTGCACCCCAACATCATCCATTCCTTTTTTACTCTCTCTCTCTCTCTCTCTCTCTCTCTCTCTCTCTCTCTCTCTCTCTCTCTCTCTCTCTCTCTCTTTCTCCTTCTGCGTCTTTTTTGGAGAGTCCACAGAGGATTTTCCTTTACTCTCCATTGCTCGCCATCTGTATGCTTCCGTTTTGTGCTTTCTCTGGTGTTCTGTTCTCTCTCTCTCTCTCTCTCTCTCTCTCTCTCTCATGCATTCTAGTAATCCTCTTCCCATCTATATCCTTCAATTGTATCCTGGATATTCCTCTCCCTCTCGAGGCTAGGTGGACACAGGTAAAGGGAGGGGAACGATGCACTCCCTGGAGGGTGAGGTAGGTACATGACGGGGAGATGCAGGGGGGGGAGATGCAGGAGGGAGTGGTGCAGGAGGGGGAGATGCAGGGGTGGGAGGTGCAGGAGGGAGTGGTGCAGGAGGGGGAGATGTAGGAGGGGGTGGTGCAGGAGGGGTGGTAGTGGACTCTCCAAAAAAGACACAGAAGGAGAAAAATAGAGAGAGAGAGAAAAAAAAAGGAATGGATGATGTTGAGGTGCAGCAGCAGCAACAGCAGCAGCAGCAGCAGCAACAGCAGCAGCAGCAGCAGCAGCAGCAGCAGCAGCAGCATCAGTAGCGCCTCGGCAGATGACATTATTAACAGTAAAATATCAGAGATGATTGCCTCCCAGCTGACGACAAGTGTACTTAACCTCCCTCACATCAACCAACTTATTAACTATCATCATATTTATATATATATATATATATATATATATATATATATATATATATATATATATATATATATTTTATATATAATATATATATATATATATATATATATATAGGGAGGTACCACCTCTAGAACTGTCCTAGGGACCCTCATCCTCAGGGAAAAGAATAAACTTGCTTCAGGGAAAACTCAAGGTTCTCCCTGAAGCTGTTTGAGAATTTTCTCCTACCACCCCCTATATTTCAAGTATCTTTTATTTAAAGACAAAATACATTAGCCAAACATTCACAAAAATACAACAGAAAGTAAAACAACATAGGTAACTCAGAGCTACATCTCGAATACTTCGTCCAGCTCCCCTGCGGTGGGCCGCGTGCCCAGAATGCTGCAGGCATTTCCTCTCTGGATCGCAACACTAAGTCTCTGAAAGAGGAAGCTGGTCGCCCTGTGGTCCTTGGTTTCTATGATGAACTTTTCACCCAGCTCTTTGAGGAGCTTTAGAGCACATTTGCCCCATGCTCCAAGGGTCTCCGACCCTATTGGAATGAAGTTATAGCAAGGAGGAAGGTCTTCATATTTGCGGATCTTCTGGGTCTCCCTGTGGCTGGCAGCTCCACCCCCTTCCACTACGGAGTATGGCAAGTAGGTGTCTGCCAATGTGGCAGCACAGGTGTAGTC